CCTACCTTTCTTTTTGCAATATTATCGAGGGTAAAATAACCTAATAAAGTTTGGTTTTTTGGAAATTCACTGGAAATATTGCTAGGTTGCTGATCGTTATGGCGAATCGGTATCTATAGAGGTTTTATCAAGTTCTATTCCACCCAATATTTCTCGTGGCTGTGTAATTTCTGTCGATGGAGCACTTCTTAAGCGAACTGAAGGTATGAAATCTGAAAATATTTAGTCGTACAGTCGAACTGTTCTTTTTGTTTCCGGGAACTTCCTCTTTTTACTTTTTCCCTTGTTTTTCAGGAAATGTGTCACTCGTTATAAATGATTCAACTTTTGTGGATTTGGAACCAAACGACCCGGAAACAAAGTGTCTTCATCGCCTGTTTCTTACTGGTTTATTTGATAGTGGCCTGTCCGAGGATCCGTTCACATGTAAAAAAAACGCCTCAAAAGATTGTCTCCTTTGCTACTAGAAGCTCTTTCTAGTTGACCGCTCGACTCTTCGTGTGATTGGCCGACTAAACGAATATCCTGGAGAAGTTTCAACTGTAATGGCTAGGATTTGCAGCATGAATTCAGACTCTCTCGTTTATTTAGGGTATCTTTTATTATTTGTCGATAAGTTTAATGTTTTTAAAAGGGGTGCATGGCACAGTGGTCGGAGGCGCCTGTAATAACACGTGGGATCGATCCCGGCACCTCAGGCCCACCAAGCCGTCCATCACTCCGGGGTCGGCAAATTGGTACCAGATTTGTCTTGGAGAATACCAACGGCCCTACGAATGGAGTCGAATGCATGGCGCATACCTCAAGGATTGGTCAACGCCGATAACTTTTTTCCTATCCTAGTGTTTTTAAGCACCCTCCGAACTCGTTATTCTAGATGCACTTCTTGCAAAAAGTCTGCTACTCCTACTTCTAACGGAATTACTTCCTGCCGTCATTGCCGGAATAAGAAAGCACGTTACTTCTACTCGCTTTCTGTGAGTGTATATCAACGTTTTCCGTGTACAAATAACAAACTTTCCTTCTCATTTCTTCTTTTTCTAGATGGAGTTGGCTGATTTTACTGGGATGATTGTTGTTAATGTATCTGATGAGGCTGCTGAAAAGCTCATCGAGAGGCCTGCTGGTGGAATAGTGAAACTTGAAAAAACTGCTCTGAAAAGAAGGTTGGAAAATACTTAATTACTTGGTTATTTGGATGCCCATCTTCACTGATTGTGCGGTCCCAGCAGAATTTCCATTTTTCGGAATTTTGCTGGTTTATCTATTGTGGTTCTCTCGAGTCCCGAGGTCAGCCTAGCCAATCTCTGCTCCAGGTCGTCACCACCACAGGCAGTCGTCGCATTTGTGCATCAGAGGGAGATTTGCCACCGTGCGACTAGTTTGGTACGAAGGCAGGGGTGAATCTTGGTATTAGTTTACTATTAGCTGGGCTTCCTAATGAGAACGCCGGACTCATCGGCTGGTGGTTTGGAGAGGCGGAGGCCCTGATGGGAGGGGGGGGGGGGGGGGGGGGTGAGCACCTCAACAGCCACAATGAGGCGGTAACCCGTTGTCCCGTTGTGAGGGCTGGCAAGTAACGGAGCAGTAGTCCCATCCATATTTCTCTTTAGAAGTATATCTTTAGAAGTATATTTAAACTAGATTATTCCTATAACAGGAGAAACTGAATAGATAAATTTGGAAGTAGTATTTTCAGATTATCGTCGCTTTACTTCCGACCAATGCTATTTCGAATCTCTGAACAGAACTCTCTATGGTTTGTGGACGACTGGAAACAACTGGATATTCCTAGATTCAAGCCATTTTTAAGAAAGATCGCTGAACAGAAGGGTTATAAGTAGGAATCCAGAAATCCGTTGAACTTCTCATGATAATGGAGCTTGTCCTCTTCTGGTGTTGTCTTCTAAAAGTGGAAACTAGTTACTTACCTCTTCATGGGGACCATCCATACCTTACTCTTTTGCATTGCTTTCGTATTTGCCGATGTCGTAAATACATCCAGTACACTCTGTTCCGGGATTTGTTCACGAGTATTTCTGTGAAGTCGCTGTGATTTTGTGAATACTTTCTCCCTACTAGTTGTTTTTTCACTTCGAAAAAATCGGTTTGTATTAATAGTACTCTGTCAAAAAGTATGTGTAAAGTCTTCTTTTTGTGCTTATAAATGTGGAATAGAAGAGACGTCTCCATCAGACGTTAGTCATTTCATTTCTATCATATCTAATTGAAGCTGATCTATGACAGGTAGTTTATGTCTAGTTAAGTTACTGAGAAGTTAAAACTCGTATGGTGTGATGGTGAACGCGTTAGCTCTCGAAAAGGGTAGTAAACCGTTCGTTCCCCACCGCAGGCACCTGCGATTTTTGCAAATATCTGAGTATCGTTGTGGTTACACTAAGTTATTTCCCTCCTCTGCCACTGGTTTGAAGCATTTACGGCTTACCCTTAAACTTGTTCTGTTGACGAAGCGCTTATAGCGGCTCTGTAGTAATGTTAATTGACATTTTTGTAGTGAATGTCAGGAAAGAAGTATGGAGGGCACAGTCATTCGCATGGTGATGGTGACTGTTGTGAGCAGAACAATACGGAATCCATGAATGAAGAAGGATCATCGGATCAGAACAATGTAGTCGCCGAGACCGACATACAACAAGTAGGGAAAATTTCTGCTCAAAAGCTGAGTTTCTAAATTTCTGTAACTGCGGCAGAGAAGAGAAGATCAGGAAGGACTACTTATGGTGCTCTTTCTTCTTTTCCCATACATCAGAATCGGAAGTGAAGAAATCTAAACTTGTTCACTTCCATCCTGCTGATGCGCTAAAGAAGATGAACGAGATTTTCTTCGACTTCAAGTCATGGTTTCAGATGGTCAAATTGGCCGAACAGCTTCAACGTGTTGGTTTTGATGTTTCGCAACTTGAAAGTGGAGCTTCAAAGATACGAGAGGCTAAAGTATGTTCCCTTGTCTTCATGTTTCAGACATGTTGATATCACTTTCTTTTTTCTGTGATCTTTTCGAGTTTAATTGTAGAGCAAGAACTTCGCCTTCTGGAGCACTCAACCTGTTCCACAATTTGGTTCGTCTTCACCTACTTAAATAATCTTTTTTTATATGTCATAGAATCATTTAGTAAATGGTTGTGTTCTAGATGAAGAGAAGCCCGAGACCGAGAACACCTTCATAGAGCCGGACTTACCTCTGGGCAAGGTTCTTTTATTCTGTTATGGAATTTTCTTCTATAAAATTCTTCTCCTTGTTTTCAGATTCGATCCGAGCCTTATTCTATGCCAGAGTCTTTTGTATGGAGCGATGTGGACCTTAATGACGAGAAACAACTACAGGTGAAGTTTCACTTCATTCTTTGGTAATAAGAACATGTTTCTTAATCAATCCTGTTGACGGGTAATTGCTGATCGCACCTATAGGTCAATGATACGGCTGAGAGTAAGGTGAAACGACAGACCTGTATAGTGTGGTGGTGAACGCGTTAGCCCGCGGAAAGGGTAGTAGCGTTTTCGATCCCCACCGCAAATACCTGCGGTCCGGAGTTTTTTAGATATCTCAAGATCATTATAGTTAATTTCACGTAATATCCTGCCAATAAAAAAGGGAGTAGGCAGTAAGTGAAAAGTGGTAACATGTTTCTTTTTATGCAGGAGTTGTACACTCTTCTCACGGAGAACTATGTTGAAGACGATGACAATATGTTCCGTTTTGACTATTCAGCTGCTTTCTTGAAGTGGTTGGTTCGATTAATTTAACTGTTCTTTGAACCCGTAGGGGTCACGCAGTGTTTAGTGTGGCTGGTCCAGTGGAATAGGACCACTTGTTCTGAGGCAGCGGATTGTTCTAGCTTTTTGACAGTAAAGAATGATTTTTCAATAGCTAGAGGACTTTAGAGGTTGTGAACCCAGCGGAATTCTAGAACAGACTTTGCATTATTGGCCAGTGAGTATAAATATGTATGCTACTATTTACTATATGTCACTATGGTCCATTATGGGAATGTATTCGTGTTAGTGCTTAGAAGCGTTTGGTACCCTATCTTGAGTCTACTTAGGTGTTTTTTATCTCCCCACATTCCATATAATGACCATGGTGACTTAAATGAAATAGCATTTAATTGTTAATCGAATTAGCGGTCAATAAAATATTTCAACAAAAATTTTTTGCCTCTATGGTGTGGTGGTGAACTCGTTAACCCCCAGAAAGGGTAATAACATGTTCCATCCCCACCGTAGATACGTGCGATCTGGCGTTTTGCAAATAACTTAGCATCATTGCACTTTTGAAAGTTTTTTTGTAGATTCTATGTTTTTCTTCAATAAGCAGACACGAGGCTGTTATTATAGGATTTATGAGGATACACCAGCTGACGTTTTATCCTAATAAATCCTATAATAACAACCTCGTGTCTGCTTATTGAAGGAAAACATCGAATTATCAATCAATGCCGAGTTAAAAGAAAGTTGGTCGTGGGAATTTTTTGTAGATTATTAGATGTTGAGGATGGCTTTTCTTGTCTCAGACATATTTTGATCAGCTTTCGATTAGCTATCGAATGATTATAATATTGTAGAAAACGTTTGGGAACCCGCTGAACCAAAAACGAACGTCGTAGTATTCATATTGTCTTGTCCTCTTGACCAAGAAAATATGCACATTATAGTGTCCATAATGGACTTTGTGGTTTAAATTTTGTAATTGCGTAGCAAGTATAACGTCCATGACGTTGTCAGTCAAATTATCAAGCGAAGACTTGTTCGCAGAACTGGGGAACTATATTTAATTCTAAATTTGAGTATGATATTGAGCTCCAAATGAAGAAAATTACCTGTTATAGAAATCTCCCAAAAGACCTGAAAATATATTAACTTTTGTAGTCACTATATAGAAAATGATGACATGATACTTCCTAGTGTAGTATTCGAGAGATTTGTGGACAACGTAAATCGTGTCCTTATTTGACTACCGAAATGTCCTTAGGGCTGTTCAAATGCCAGGATGGCTGCCACAGTGGCACTGTGGAGTACGAGCGAAACAAAGTGGTCGATTGCTTGCTTTCATAGCTGCTGTCCCACAAACCGTCCGAGTTTATGACAAGGAGCGGCCTATGGTGGAAATTAATTTCCTTTGTGTGCATAAAAAGTTAAGGTAGGTGCTATGAACGGATTTGTTTTTCGAAAGATTGTTTTCGCAAATGTGTTCAATTCTAACTATGCGGCTTCTTCATAGATCTAAAAGGGTAGCACCAGTACTGATCCGTGAGATTACTAGACGTGTGAATCAACAAAAAATCTTCCAAGCCGTTTACACTGCTGGAGTTGTTCTTCCCAAGCCAGTGGGAATATGTCGGTACGGAGTTTTGCAATATCGTTTTAGCTCTTTATTTTAAGCCTATTATTATCTGATCAGGTATTGGCATCGTTCTCTCAATCCGAAGAAGCTTATCGACGTTCGATTCTCGCATCTATCTGCAAAAATGACGATTGCCCGTACAATAAAGTTGTATAAGCTTCCCAATGTGAGTTTTTTGTAAATATCAAGTATTGTATGATTTAGCTTTTTTTCTCTCTTACATCTGTGGGTATGAAATTATCTTGCAATAAATAAAAATGGGTAAATCTGTCGACATTGGTCTATCCCCGAGGGATGCGCCATGCATTCGACTTCATTAAGCATCGTTGGAGGTGATTGAATGCATATCTGACCTTTACAATAACTCGCAGCAGTATACCGATGCATCGAGCCAGTGCTGATATGCTCCCAGACAAGTCTGGTACCAATTTGCCAACCGCAGAGGTATAGAAGGCTTGGTGAGCCTGGGCGCACGATCGTTCTCATGTGTACTGCAGGGCACCTCCAACCACTGCGCTACACACGAAATTATCTTATACGGTTAGGTAAATAAACAGGAGAATAGTTGAACGCTTACTAGTTTTTCGTAGTGACGTTTTCCTCGGAATTCTAAAACATCTACGTATAACACATAAACCAGTATTTCATCTGTCCTATAGGAAGGAATTCCCATCCAAGACTAGTGCTCATTTAGACACCGGCGACTTCTGGTCTACGACCACTGGAAAAAAAGGATATTTCATCGGCTTGGAAACTGTTGTCAGAGTATCTGAAGAGGTTCTGTCTTGCTCCCGTATTCACGAAGAAAGAATTCGAGCATGTATTTACACCTATTGAAGATGTCGTATACACTTATGTGGTCGAGGTTTGTTGTCATCCTTAACACAAATAACCTTTTTGAATTCATCTCATAACTCATCAAAAAATTATAAAGATTGCTCGCTCCAGTGTTAACCACAACTTTATTCAAACATCTCAATTAGTTATGAACTTTGTTGAAGCACAGATCAATGAGATCTACAATTCGTTGTCCACAAGGTACACGTTTTCTTAATCGAAAACGAGGTTATGGTATTCTAGAGTTAATGGAACATATCTCCTCCCTTTCTTTTTCAAGATAGGTTTCACGTCGAAACAGAAGTGAGTTTCGTAGAACATGGCAAGATGTATAGAACATGGCAACTTGATGTATAGACGACTTTTGTGGCTAGTGTTCTTGCCTGCAAAATTTCAGAAGTGTGCTTCTTTTGGTCTGTTCAGCACTTCAATTCTAAGTAACGTCAGAGTTGAGATATCTTTTAGAGAAATTATGTGCACATTTAAACGTTAGAGCACGGCTTCTACCTTCAGTCTGTCAACTGTTAAGATTCTGAAGTACTATAGTTATTGAAGAATTATCAGCAATTCATGGGTCCTTGTGTATTAAACGTTCTAAAAGTTGGGTTTGATCGTACTTTTTCATACTGATTGGTTTTGCTAACAGACCGGAGGAAAGGTGACCGACATGCTATCTTTCTATTCATTGCCATCTTCGGTGATGCATCATCCGACACACAAAAGTATTCGAGCAGTGTATTCGTTTTACAATGTGGCTACGACAGTTCCTTTCAAACAGCTCATGAACGATGCACTCATATTCGCCCAAAAAGTAAGTTTTTAAATCGTTACTTTCTAGCCTCTTCATGTCTCTTTTTTTCTGTTATAAATTCTTCATTATGGAATTACGCACAACGTTGTTAACATTAACGTCAGTAACGTGGTTAACGTGGTCAACGGTAAAACTCCTCATCTATCTATTCATGCTAAGTGCTTAATGCGAAGGAATTCTAGTATTCTAGTATGATTGTTTTAAATATGCTTAATGAATAAAAGACTTAAGATAGACAAGCGTTCTATATAGTTTGCAACTGAACATGCGTTGGAACTCCTGAGTTAGTTAAATACTGCTTACCTTACCTTTTATGTTATTAAAACGCTATCAGAATAGAAGGAGACAACAGCGTTCTCAAACAGTTCAACCGTTTGGATTAGTTGATCATTCAGGAATTTTACGGTGTAGGAAACGATGAACTTTGGAAAACCCACGTCTCTCAGCATCACAGCAAAATCTCTGCTATTTAGGAATGCTATAAGATAAAATCTAAATTATCTTCGCCTGATTATCTAGTTTATCATTTTTTGTTTCTAAAATTTTCAAGATGTCATGACAGTGGAAATGAAATATGATATTATTGTGACTGTTGTTTGCTTCTAGAACAAAATTATGAGACGCGTTTGTCTGATTTATTTTCACAATTCTTTTCAAGACAATCACAAATTCTTATAAGAAAGGTATTATCGTAGTAATGGTCATTTACACTTGATGGAATGAGTGAGAATAATGGAACGAATAGTAAGAATGACCAAATCAATAGTCTTTGTAGTTCTTTTTGGATCACTTTGTGATTATCCTTTTTACGTTTGCTTATCGAAATTACTGTTGGTATTTGTTATCATTACTACTAGGTTCTCGCTTCCACTTTCACTAATCATTTTAACTACATTCTTCATTGTTCTTTGATATCAACGCAGACCTCATGCCAAAAACTGGTTCATTTATGAAGGTTTTTGTGATTTTTAAAAATTTTTCCAGCCTTGCCTATAGTTTGTAGTTTCCACTGCTGTGGGTAATGACACCAAACACGGTTTTACTACGAATTAGTCTTTAGCTGCTAAAAGAGGTTGTAATGTTTAGTAGATGTTCTTCAAGAAGGTAAAATGTTTGACTGACTATGCAGTTTGAAAGAATTGCTTATGCAGTTTAAATAGTAGAGTGGTTGTCGTCCGACTCTCCAGGAGCTGTACATAGTTTGATGTTCGTATTAAACAGACATTTACAGGAGATAATATAGTAAACTTGCTACTTACTTAGCTCAATGCTCTATTTCTCTTGAGTTCAAAGCCTTGAGATCTAGAAATGAAATACGAGAACTACGGGTATTTTATGTGAACTTAATACGCATTATTAATTCAATCCTTCTTCGTTTAGTTTTAAAGCATAGCACACTGGATTAACATGAATGACTTTATATATATAATATTTTATTAGCTTATTTGTTTTGTCTATACATAAATGATGCAGTCAATTCACCACAGAAAATACTTTCAGCTAGGTTTTGATGTCTTTAATGCACTCGATCTTATGGAGAATGCTTCGATTTTGGAAGAGCTCAAGTTTGGGATCGGTGATGGCAATTTGCAATACTATCTTTACAATTGGAGGTGTCCCGAGATGAAGCCGGAACAAATTGGACTCGTGTTACAGTAGGTCTGGTGTTACAGGTTGGTTCGAATACTGTAGAAGTTTTTGAAGAAGTTTTCTTTATCGCTACGTTTCTAAGTGGAAAAAAGGTAGTGGGGCGAATGAATATTTCCCATAATCAAATGTTAATGGAATCTCCTCATATGAAAATGTCAGTCATCCAGAATAGTTTTCCTATAACGCAGGGGTCCAATATGCCACCCATACGTTGTAAGGGTTTAATTCGAAATGTAATCGACAGCAATACCTCTAGACGCTTGGTTCTTTTAAAATAAAAGGAATTGACGTGTATCATTGTGGTGCTTTGGAGAGGATTCACGTCATTGAGGTTAAACGAGTTGGCTAACTGAGCCGCGTTTATCGTGTTGAATTTTGGACTTTCCCTGTTGTGTAATTGATAGCCGCTCTGATTACATAGTTTTCTCTATCCTACCTAAGTGATCAAACATGGCAAATTGTGCGTATCTTAACAATTCTTTCGGTTCGTTATCTTGCATACATTGTCTGCGATGGTCTTTGGATTTGCGTTTGAATTCGATTGTTGTTTGAGGGTTCTGTCCTCTTGAATATAGTTGAATTCTGGTCGAGTTGATTTTTCCTAGAATACTGAGCTGGCTCTATCGGCGTTCTCAGGCCCTTACTACAGACAAGTTGCTAGCCTATGTGGATTGGAGCTATTTGTTGACTCTATAGGAATAGGTTTTTTGGCTTGGGCTGTGGTTGAACTTTGCCACCATGCGAGTGTTGCACAGAATGTATGTCCACTGTAATTCCGCGCTCCTTAGCTTGTCCTATGGAATGTGTGTTCTTCAATTCAATTTATGCGTTATACTACGCATGCGCCTCATTACATAGTTCAGCGTCCGTTCTTGAGATATATGAGCCTTTCAAAAACTCACGACCTGTGAAATGATAACGGAAGAAGAATGCGTCGTTTTCTTGTTCAGCAATTGCGAGGTTGTTATACAGCATACATTTACTTCCATAGAAAAATGCACAATGCAATACAACAGTAGCTGACATTTCGGCAGTATCGCCTTCTTCAGGGCCTGGAGGAATATACTGATGTACAATTTACTAGGCCAAACGCTTCAAAACACAAAAAAACGCGAAACTCGTAACCGCTTGTATGACTGTCTATGTGAAACAACAAATAGCGTAATTTGCTCTTACGGCAAGGACGGTGATTGTATGAGTTCAGGTACGATATACCTGATCTCTTATAATAATTGCGGAGATGAATATATTGGCGAAACGGGCAGACCCTTGTGTATCCGTATAAAAGAACACCTAGATGGCAAACCAAAAGCAAGACAAAGTACTCCACTAGGCACGCATATGATACAAAAACATAGTGGAGACAATTTTGAAGTTGAAGTCAATACCCTCGCACAGGAGACTAAGACACCAATGCGCAAACTTCTTGAGGCCATTTGGATAAACGCCAAAAACTCCACAATGACTGGCAGAGAGGTGTGCCCTGAGGTCACACGCGACTTAGCCCGTATCTTCGGATCAATTTCTGATGTGGGGTGGTGCAGTCATCGACCATATGCCACTGTAATCAGCTGTTCTAATCTTCCTCATTGGAAGTCACGAAAAAAGCGGCGAGTTTTTCGAGAAGCTGTTGATCATGAAATAGACATAGAGTTTTTCGTCTTTTTGTAAGTGTTATTGAAGTGCTTGACCTAGTAACTTGCATACCAATATACCCTTCCAGGCTTTGAAGAAGACGATACTGCCGAAACGTTTGCTGAACAAGAAAACAACGCATTCATATTCCTATGCCGAGGTTAATAGAAAGTCGATCCTGGGAACTGATAACGGAGGATTCCTTAGGTCTAATGTTAGTGAAACAATGACTCCTGTACTGATTCGCTTTTTCTAATCATTACGAAGTATGTTCCACGTTCCGTCTGCTACTTTGCATGTATTCGGATGAGACCGTTCATTTCTGTGAACTTGTCGCTTATTTTTCGTATGGGTCTATCTCCATCTAAAGCGGTGAGTGTAGCGCAGAGGTTAAACGTGGCCTACAATACACAAGTGTTCCTTGGTTCGGTCTCGCATCCGGTCTCACTAAGCCTTTCATTCTTCCGAGTTCGACAGTTTGGTTTCAGATATCACTGGAAGGATAGTAGCCTGGCTTGATACATTGGCGAGCCACCTCAAATCATTATATAGGCCAGAGATACATTTAACTACCTCTAACTATGCTGAGTAGAATCGAATGCATGACAAGGATTTATCAACGGCGAACAGTTTATCCTTTTTTTTCATCTCTCTCAGCCTTATTATGGCTATCTAAGAAGGTATAATCATGCATTTTGACGTGCGATTTTCTTGTTTTGCTTCCTCTTTCTGAGCTCCCAATAGAATTTCAAATGTGGTTGGTCACCGTGAGAACACGTCCACACGCTTTCTACTTTGTTTTCTAGAGAGCATGCATTCTGTGGGGTCTGGTTCAGTAACCATACGACTGGCCCCATATTTCAGCTATGTAGGAATGCAACAGGCTTTACCACATTGATACCTACATCTAGAAAGTCTGACCTGTGGAACGATGTGTTAGATAAGCATGTGATGTGTGATGATTTAGGAGATGACAGCATATTTCTCCCCAATATTTAAGTATTTCAGGTAACACTATTGTAACACTGCAGTTTATCCATGTGTCCTCGATGTATGTCAGCCCACAAGTCTTATAATTTTTCTTTTCTTTATCTTCTTCTTATTACTACCACTGCTATTGTTACTATCATCACCATTCTTATCACGTCACTACCTTTATTATTTATTAACTAATAACTATTAATACTATCATTTTATTGAAGGACAGGACAGGTGCCGTAGATACCGTTTTACTCTGACTCTGATCTTGATGAAAGCTGATTACGTGTTCATTATCTAGATAAGTTATCCCGTTCATATATCTTCGAAGTTCTGAAGAATTTTTAGTCCCAACAAACCCCTGCAGTGGTTAGCCACACTTATCAGCAGCACCTCATCTCGCATATAGTCGTTGCTCACGTCCCTTACTTTCTTTCTTGTGCCGATTCATGTTTTGTGTGACATTGTTTGTTGTCTTCTGTTCCGTGGCAAGATTGGTTTTGTGAAATAGTCGTGGTCTATAAGTGAGCGAGCATCAATGTTTTTGTGATATATTCAGAATACCTTTAATAGTCTCTAAAATTATTGTTGTAGTTGGTTGTTGCTGTTTGTGAATGAAATCTTTTTGAAATATGCGGAATCTGTTGATGGTTATAGGAAAAATTGCATGCCAAACCGTCTACTATAAGGATAGTTGTGACGACGACGACCTCCGTGAGAAATCAAGGATATACACAAGACGGGCGCATATAGCACAGTGGTTAGTGTTGCACTGTGATACATGCGTGCTCAAGTTGGCTGGTACACGGTAGCCTGCTAGCCTGGTACATCTCACGCAACTCACTCTGTAGTCCAGTTATTATAATGCTCAACAATGCTTGTCAAATACACAACGCAATCTTCAGAGGTTGATTAATGCCGAACATTTTATTGTATAGAAAAATCATATCGATTATCAGTGACAACACCTGGCGTGGGTTCTTCCTTTTTTGAAAAGAAGAAATAGCGTAGCTTAGAGAATTAATCTGTATCAGAGGTTGTGGCTAGTTTGAGAGGAATCTAATTGCAAAGGTGAAGATTGCTGATTTACAAGGTGCTACTTAAGGAATTTGGGATGGAATGGGACATAAGTAAGCAGAAAAATGTAAGTCCTGTTACACTATATGTTATGTACTCCTCTCTGCGTCTGGCTTAATTTTTCGTGAGATGAATTAGTGCAGGGCGAACAGAAAACTATGGGAAGCCATGGATAATATTTTTTTATCTGAATGTTCAGCATCAGCTAAAACTTTCCAGAAGCCAATCCATAAACGTATCGTGGAGCTTGATATTTCGTAAAATTCAACGTGGTTGCTCTTCTGAAGATCAGTTCAAGATGCAAGACATGTCTACTTAATAATTCGGATCCGATGCGAATGGAATTCGACTCACGTGCGAGCAGACCGTTCGACTTGAGTCGATATGCACTCGTATTACTCGTGGCTGGCTGTCATAGATCATAGGGGCTTGTTTTGTGTTCGGTTAATGGCTTACCTAACATAGTTGTTTCGACGAGCACGTCCCATGAAAATCTGCTGTCTACGCCCAATATTTGGTCAACTTTCTTTATACCAAGGAATTGTTGCTCGTAAACAAAACTGGTGCTGAAGTATCCACCGAAGAAACTTAACCCATTTAACTGCCACGACCGACTTTCTATTAACCTCGGCATTGATCAAGTGATTTTCTTCGTATTTTTGTTGAGCAAACGCGAAGTGTTACTATTCTTTGTTCACGATTAAGCTGACGTTTCGGCGAATTTCGCCTTCTTCAGAGCCTGGAAAGGTCAAGTTGATAGCAATCCACTCGGCCAGACGCCTCCATAACCAAACAAAGAAACTCCAAACCAAGATTTCAATCACTTTGAACACAGCTTTGCACACTCACCGCTTTCTATGAGGTTTCCACTAAGTATGTCACGTAGAGACCAACCGCACAGAAATCACGTGGAAGTATAATGTGCCCCTCACATCAGAAAAGCAGTTTTATATACTGCCCTATCTCACGCGTGATAATGAGGCATTCTTCCCTGCGGTTCATTTTCGGATTTCTGGAATTAATCCAGAGTGCCTCGAGAGTTTTTCGCGCCTGTGTTCTTGATTCGCGTGCGAGGATCGTGACACATACTTCGAAGTCGTCCCCGTTATGTCTCTGGGTCCTATGCGTGCCTAGCGGGGTATTTGGTCTATTTTTGCCGGCTAGGTGTTCTTTCATGCGGACACAGAGGGGTCTACCCGTTTCGCCAATGTATTCGTCACCACACGTCTTACAGGAGATCAGATAAACTATACCCGAGCTCATGCAATCACCGTCTCTACCACTGGGGCAAATTATGCAATTTTGAGTTGCACATAGAC